GAATTATTATATTGAAAAATAAAAAATTTAATTTAAAAAAAGAAAAGTTGAGGACCACCTATGTCTGTCATCTTGTCATAAAAAAGAAAGTTTGTTGGAAAGTATTTTCCGCTTGAATTTAGGTTTGGTCCGCACATGCAGAGCAGAAGAGTTGGAAGAAGAGTTTTCAGAGCTCCAATGAGTAAAACAGAAAATATTTGTGACTGCTCCCCTATTGCTAGATTCCTCCCAAAAGTTTAAGGGAATTGATTTTGTTTTCTGAGCAAAATTCAAGATGGGAGTTTCTCATGAATACAGGTAGTCCTCAACTTATGACCACAATGGAGCCCAACATTTATGTTTTCAAGTGAGAAATTTGTTAAGTGAGCTTTGTCCCATTTTACAACTTTTCTTGCCACAGTTCTTAAGTGAATCACTGCTATTGTGTAGTGGGCTTCAGTAGGCAAGAAGCAGACCAGCATAGCTACAACAGCATTTATTGACTCAAAACTGGAACTGAGGAACAGCAGGCAAATGCCTGTAATTTATACTCAAGGCCTGGGATGGCGAACCTGTGGCACGCGTAGCCATATTGGTGGGCATGTGAGCTTAGCTCTGGTGTGCATGCACGCACCGGCCAGCTGATTTTCGGGCCTTCTGGGCCCACCAGAAGTAGGGAAACAGGCTGTTTCCTGCCTCAGGAGGACCTCGGGAGCTGGTGGGGAAGACCCGTGTTTCTCTCTCCCTAGCCTCCAGAGCCTTTCTAGGAGTCTGGAGAGGGCAAAAACAGCCTTCCCCACCTCCCCAGTGTCCCTCTGGAGGCCGGAAACAGCCCATTTGCCAACTTCCGGTGGGACCGGAAGTCCCGTTTTTTGCTGTTCCCAGACTCCAGAGTCTTTCGAGGAGTCTGGGGAGGGCAAAAACTGCCTTCCCCATCCCCCCCCCCCACAGAGGCCCTCCGGAAGCCAAAAATAGACCGTTTGCCAACTTCCAGTCCCCCAGGCTGGGGACAGCAAAAAACGGGACTACCGTGCCATCACGTGCCAGGAGTGTGGGGAGCGTGGGGGGGGTCGCATGCACGGATGCAGGGTGCATAGAATTATGGGTGTGGGCACACGAGTGCGTGATACACATCCCGCTCCTGGCACACAATGGCAAAAAGTTAGCAATCACTGCTGTAGGCCCAGAAGGCCTTAACCAATCATAATCCTTGAAAAAGCCCGCCCAAATATGAATGTTCTAAATTTCCCTCCAAAACAGTTGGAGCTAACAGTGAGGGTCATCTAAAGGTTAGTTTCACTTTAGCAGGGCGTAACACAACTATATACATTCAATACATAACAACTGCAATTGTTAAATTAGTAACACGGTTTCCCCATTGATTTTGCTTGTCAGAAGGTTGCAAAAGAAGCCTGAGTGGCGTAGGAGGCTAATGCCTCCTACTAAGGCAGCATTTAACATCCAGTTGCCTGCAATTACTGCGAGTTCAATTCTCACCAGGCTCAGAGTCGACTCAGCCTTCCATCCTTTCTAAGGTGGGTAAAATGAGGACCCGGTTTGTGGGGGCAATAAGCTGACTTTGTATAAATATACAAAAGTATCAAGGCTATTGCTTAACGCATTGTAAGCCGCCCTGAGTCTCCGGAGAAGGGCGGCATATAAAAATAAATAATTTTTTTAAAAAGGGGGGGGGATCACAGGACTTCAGGGCATACAACTGTCATAAATGTGAATTCATTCTTAAGCATCTGAATGTAAATCACGTGACCATGGGGATGCTGCAATGGTTATAAGTGTGAAAAATGGTCATAAGTCACTTTTTTCAATGCTGTTGTAACTTTGAATAGTCACTAAGCGAACTGTTGTAAGTCAAAGACTTACCTGTATTCGTATATCAATGATTACGGCCAATGGTGGGTTGCTACCGGTTCGCCCCAGATCAGGTGGGTGGGTGGACGGAGGCTCCCGCCGCCACTACCGGTTCGCCCAATTTGGGGCGAACCGATAGTGGCGGCGGGAGCCTCCGTCCACCCACCTGGACGCTTCTGTGCATGCGCAGAAGCATTGTGAGCGCATGCAAGCGCGCTCGCAACTGGTAGTGATGGGTTTTGAAGCCCACTACTGATTATGGCACAGTATCAAGTCCCAACAGCAGAATACAACCCAGCAGGAGAGCTCACTATGAATCACAATAGTTAATTTATTGTTAAGAAGGTAAAACATTAAGGTGCCGAATCTTGAAAGCTGAGTAAGACAGAATTCTAGCGTTCATTTTTTAAAGTACACTACACGCATTAAAGCAGGGTCTCTGAGAATCATTTCAACTGCTTTTTTCAGGACCAATGAGCTAACCATCCTTTTTCTTAATTAGATTGATCCTAAATTATCCATCTGCTCATTGTTAATAGTGGTTGGATACACCTCCTTTTCTTCCCTGCTCCACAATCTCTTCTGAACACATTTTCCCATTGGATCTTAAGACAGGAGGCTACCTATAAGAGCACAAGGCAGGCTGAATATCACACTGTTTTCTCCTGCACTACTCCCAACATCTGTTGCCCAACGTCCCTGCTTCAGTCTAGCTCTTTGTACAGCCAGCCCTGCCTACTGAAACAAATCAGAACAGAAAACCAGCGCAGCAGGCAAAAATCTGGGCTCGTTTTCTGTTAAGAGGAAATGTATAGTTTTACTAACATAATGGAGCCTTTCATACCAGAAATGTGAGAAGATGCAAAGATCTTGCTTTAAATGAAATTTAGAACTGCAGATCTACTATGAAGTACTGCTGCGGTGACCAGATAACAATTGCAATGCAAAATGAGGATTATTTTATCCATTGTTCTTTTGGGACATTGGGCTATGATCTTTTTGATTTGTGACAATGAGTAGAAAAAAAAGAGCAGAAAAACCTGAATCACAGGTTCATTTCAGAGACAGCATTGGAATCAACCAGTTTTCTGAACTGCCTTTCAGTCCCTGCCATTATTCTGCCAAATGTGTACCATCTACAAAGATGCTGGAAAAAGGGAAGAAAGGTTTATTTAAAAAATAATTACAGGATGTCATCCAAAGGAAGGCCAAGTATTATCCAACCATAGTTAATTTTTTTTTTCAGACAGAGGCAGACAAGGGCAGAAGATTAAAAAAAATTGGTGGCTGTGGAGAAAGCTAATTGGTTCAGGAAATGAGGTGTTGATGCTGTTGACTCAACTCTTTAAAGCGATGCTACTTTGAAACTCAAATACTTTGGCCACCTAATGAGAAGGAAGGACTCACTAGAGAAGAGCCTAATGCTGGGAAAGATTGAGGGCAAAAGAAAATTGAGACGACAGAGAATGTGGTAGCTGGATGGAGTCACTGAAGCAGTCGGCGTGAGTTTAAACGGACTCCAGAGGATGGTAGAGGACAGGAAGGCTTGGAGGAACGTTGTCCATGGGGTCGCAATGGGTCGGACATGACTTCGCAACTAACAACAACAAAAACTTTTACAAAACCAATAAATACCCATCAAAGGGACCAAGCTAATCTACTTCTTTTCTGTAATGAACATACAATAGTATAAACAGGTTTATGGAACCCCCAAATGAAATAAACTGGCCAAAATCAGTTGAGAGCAGAAATTCTCACAAGATCTCAGTTTTCGCATGAGATAATATTAGCATGCCAAGGATTCATACTATTTAGTGTATAAGAAATACACTAAATATTATTTGGTGGTCCACTCCGCCAGAATTGATGATGCACTCATGCTGGGAATTGTTTTAGATTGTCCCCTATTTTTTTGGAGTTTAGAAGTGATTGCTTATCTTTCATGACTCTAATCAAATAGAATGGCCTCTTTTTGGAACTGAAATTTGCTTCATTAGTAGTTGAGATACATATCAAGATGATAATTTATTTTAGTGATTGCTCCATTTTTGTGATTGGTCACAATCAGCCAGATGTTTAAACTCAACTTGACATTTTTATCCCTGTCGAGTCCTGTCAAGGACCTGAGATAGGCAGATGTTGATGTTTCATGGTGGTAAAGATATTGTCACAGGATGTAAGCTGTTCCAAGTATAGCTGCCTTTTGCAATTGACGGATGGTGATTTTGTCAATGCCAATGATGTTCAATTGGTACTGGTTCAATTGTTTTGGGATTGCACCCAAGGTGCCTATTACTATTGGTACTATCATTGCTTTCTTTTGCCACAGTCATTCTATTTCTATTTGCAGATATTTGTATTTTGTTTCTTTTCTCTAGTCCTTTCTCACTATTATGGTTATTTATCATATTTTAAATGTATTCAAATTTCTTGCAGACATTTTGATTGTACTGGGATGTCTTAGCTTTATCACTGTTGGCCACTATTGTTATTAACTGCAGTGTGATCTTTGCAGATTCAGCAGTATACAAATGAAACAAATAAAGAATAGAAGGTTGATACAACTCTATTGGAATTTAAATGCATGCTAAATATTTCTACTCATTGTGGCACTACACTGCACTGAACTAGATATGGTCATTCATATATTTTATATTATTCAGAATGTTTACTACTGCATTTTGTGTGGTTTTCTATTATTTTGTATTACGGTGATTGGACAGGGGTTTTTTCCTACTTTGGAATTGCTAGAGTATATAATAATTCTTCATAAACAGTTAGGGATGTCACTGCAGGAGAATCACTAAAACACTCAGAAAAGGATATCAATTGCTAATACTGCCAGACCATGGCACTTTTGCACTCTATTACAGTAGTATAAAAAGTGCCCAGCAGAAAGAGCAGAGGCATTGAAGCAACTAATTGCACACTAATCCCCAAATGGCATTTGGCAAAATCTTTCCTGAGTTGGTTTCCAAGCCTATGTATGAGACTGTGCAGAATTCTATTATCGTATTATGCAAATTTATCTTCGTCTAAAACAAGAACGAGAAACTTAAGACCCATAAATTCTCCAGTCTTTGTTTTTGCCATTCCTAGAGCTTTTCTACAATTGCACTGCCACAATTTAGTGAATACAAAGCCAGTTCCTTGTAGCATGTTGGGTTTTATTTTTCCATGGAAATAAGAACAAAAATGAGTGTGTTAAGCCATTGTTAAGCTTTAAGACACTTGTTTTCTTTCAACACCATCCCCAAAAAGGCCTTTAAAAAAGAAAAGCTTTTTCCTCTCCAGGGATCTCACTGGAGAATTGGTGACCTCAGAAAAATTGTAGCAACATGCAATGAAATGAAGGGAATGTTCATTGTATGTATATGTTTGCTTGCTCTCTCTATGCACACATGGAATAATGCATGCTCTCTCACACATAAATATTCCCCACACATACAAATATATTAACAGAACTGTAGTTTACAACTTCTCCTGCTTTTGCCATTCACTTCGCATCATAAATCAACATTATATGGTCTGTGCATCCTTTGAGATTAAAAATAATACATTCAAAATTGGATTTCCTATTTTATCATTCTTCATGATGAAAAGAATCCTTTGTAATGTAGAAATTCTTGTCAATTTTATACTTCATGCTGTAGCACAATGTGCCGACACAAAGCCTTGCGTATTTCCAAAGCTGTGCACCCAAGAGGAGATTTTGCGGTGCCTATTTTTCATAAAAAAGGATTTGGTCTCCCTCTTTTCTGAAGCATGTCTGCTTTAATCTACCACAAAGAGCAATCTCCCCGCTTCTCAGAAGTCTTTGGTTCCAATCAAGCACAGCCATCCTATTTCGATCACCAGTGTGACAGAACATGCTGGGTCTGTAATTATAAAACACAATTACAATATTATAAGGACTACTGCATTTCAGCAACTTGTCAGGAAGCAAAACTAGGCAATTCATGCATACAGATTCCCTTTTGTTAGGTATATTCAGTGGTGGGATTCAGCCAGTTTGGGCAAATCAGTAGTTAAATTGATGGCTGGCCCCGCTCCGCCATACCCCTTCCAGGAGTCCCCACGTGCCCCATTTTGTCTCCCAGGTAAGTGCAGGGAGGCCTAAAATGGGGCACGGGAGGGTGCAGTGGACACCCCCACCGCCCCACAGCCTATTTTTGTTCCCAGGAGGCTGCAGGGAGGCCTACTAGGCTCAAAACAGGGCCCCACCCCTGGGCCTGTTTTTGCTCCCAGGGGGTGCAGGATGCCGTGCTGCCTGTCACACCCCCTGGCCACGCCCACCATGGCCACACCCATGGTGGTCATTAGGGCAGAGAAGGTTGTTAAATTATTTGAATCCCACCACTGAGTATATTCAAGCAGAGGCCTGCTAGTCATTTGAGAGAGAGGCTTTAATTTGGATTCCTACACTAAGGAGACTTAAATATGATCAAATTGCCCTGTGATTCTAATCACCTAGCATAGTGGTCCTTGTTTAGGGATAATTTATAGTGTCTACGGAGATTATCAGTCATCCAGGTCATGGTTGTCCCAAAGGTGTTTTTTCAAGAGGCAACTGGACTTTGTTTGCTTTTCCTTGAAGACGTTTCACTTCTCATCCAAAAGCTTCTTCAGTTCTGAAGAAGCTTCTTGGAAGAGAAGCGAAACATCTTCAAGGAAAACAAAGCAAGTCCAGTTGCCTCTTGAAAAAGCTCCTTTACGACAGTTACGACAGCGATGGAAAAGTAGCCTTGCCACCAATTCTTGCATTTACAACCTTTGCAGGTCAGCAAAGGGAAGCTAAAGATCATAAGGCCAGTTGTGGTTTCACTTAGCAACTACTCTGCTTAACAAAGTCGCTAAAAGAGGACTACCTCTAACAGCATTCCAACAAGGGAACCCACTTCCCTATGAAATGATGCATTGTCTTTCCTTGAATGTATTCAAGAGGCTAAGCCATCATCTTCCTGGAGTGCTTTGATTCGGATTTCTGCATTGCAACAAGGAGTTGGTCCTGATGACATAGGCCAGCGTTCCCAAACCTTTCTTTGTTCAGTCAAATACTGCTTTTGTGCAGCCAGGTTCCCGATAGACAGCAGCCTGGTACCCGGCCACTGGCTGGGAGTTGAGGACCCCCGACATAAGCAACCCACTCCAAATCCTATGATTCTATGCCAAAGTACCCCATGATAATTAGTAATACTAGAACTCCATCACTGATTTCAAAAAGACCAAAATGGGTTCCTCTACACCTAATGGAATCCTCTAACATCTGTGAATTCCTGCTCACAAACCTGCCCAATAAAGCATATATCCAGGACAGATATTTTTTTTTTAAATGTATTTCTTTTTCCAACATTCTTATCTTTAAAATCCTAGGGGTGGGGGAGCAACTGTATTTTAAAACCATAGAAAAAGTTGCATAGGAAACTATAACTGTCTTTTATGGACACCAAGAGCGTATGCACCAAGACAAATTCCTTGTGTGTCCAATCATCCTTGGCCAATAAAGAATTATGTTCTGTTCTGTTCTATTCATGGCTTAGAACCTGGTTATTTACGGGACTACCTGCTACCACCAATAGCCTCCCACCAACCAGTACGCTCCCATAGAGAGGGGCTCCTCCAGGTGCCATCGGCCAAACAATGTCAGCTGTCAGCCCCTAGGGGGAGAGCCTTCTCTGTGGGGGCACCTACGATCTGGAACGAGCTCCCCCCGGACATACGGAGGATCCCGGATCTGCGCACCTTCCGTCGCGCGCTTAAGACTCTTCTATTTCATCAAGCTGGCCTGGCCTAAATCTTAACCTTTTAATGTGGAAATTTTAAATTTGTTTTAATTATAGGGTTATGGGTAAGGCGTTTTAAATTGGGGAGCCATTTTGGATTTAATTTTGTTTTAAATGTATTTTAATGTTTATATGGTATGTTTTTTAATCTTGGCTGTTCACCGCCCCGAGTCCTTCGGGAGAGGGGGCGGTATAAAAATTTAATAAATATAAATATAATATATAAATATTCTAATTTTTAAAAATCAACAGACTAACTGGAAAGGGATGGTTCACTATTCTAACTGTCCACTAAATATGAAGAGATTGCCCTGATTTACATTATTTGTGTAATGAAGTCAGGACAGAGATCATTTTATTTGCATAATAGTGCTATTATTCAAATGAAGCAGATCAGAGCAACAATGAATTTCTGAATTTTTTGGAATCTACAATGGAATACTTTATTGAGTTGCTTATTTTATTTCAAAAATGTATATTCAAACACTGTAACTCTGAATAGATTACACTTAAACCCCAAATAAGCAAAACCATATAGTGTCATGGCCTAGGACTCTGAAAAAACTGCTCCAACTGAATCTGTGAAATTTCAGTTCAGGAGATGCCAAGCCAGAAATCACCTGAGGCTCATCAAACACAGGCACCATCCGAACACCTGGAGCAATCAGATGATGACAGGCAGACTTAAAGCCCTTGAACTCGGGGAGTGGAGCAGAGAGTAGAGCAAGGTCGCTCAATGAGGCTCCTTGCCAAGCAAGGAAGTAACTCTTGATTAAAGACAACTGGCTATAACTTGATTTACAAGCAGCCCTCTGATTTCCTGCTCTGGTGTGTCATTGTTGTAAAACTCTGACCTTGGATTGACAAACTCTGACAAACCTGACTTGGCTCTCGGAACTTTGGACTGAATTTGGACTACAGTATAGTATTGTTCTCTGTGCTTCTATTGAAAGTGAAACCACTCAGGCAAGCATTTTTCTCCAAAATACTCTGTTTTGATTTATATTCCTTTCCTTGTCTGTGAACTATTCAGCCTTGAGTAAATTGCTATTTTCACCTAGCAATTGAGTGTGTATCAGTTTGGAACCTGAAACAGGATAGACAGTTCTGATACACTGAAAACAAGCCCTTGATAGGCAATTAGGGACTTGAAACTATTCTCTAGGCTGGGACCCCCATCATCCTAGCCACGGTGTCTGAGTAACTAACTGGGTTGTCACATCACCAATTTGAGGACAAAGGCCAGAATCAGCAGAAGAAGCCACTCCATGTACTCAAGCAGTACATGGAGTGGCTGAACCAGGGGTGAAATGCACTTACCTTCACTACTGGATCACAAATATGAGTGTGTGTGCGCGCATGTGCAGAGGGTCAAAAACGGGATGTGATGACATCCGGGTAGGTGGGCGGAATCTCCCGCCACTGGCCCTACCGGATCGTGCAAGCCGGATAGATTTGGGTGAATTTCACCACTGGTCTGAAAACGTAAACTTGCCTTATAATTCATAAGCCACAAGGAAGATACAGTCTGTATTCACTAGGAAGATGAAGGAAAAACCTATCATGAATCCCCAGGTCAGATGCTATCATCTCACATACTCCAAGGAGTAGCAAACAAGTAGTCCTCAACTAGCAACCATTCAATTAGTGACCATATGAATTTACAAGAGCACCGGGAAAAGTGACCTCTTGTTTTTCGCCCAACCGTAGCAACATTCTCATGGCGCATGATCAAAATTCGGGCACTTGGCAACTGACATATGACAGTTGCACTGTCCTGGGGTCATGGGATCACCATTTGTAACTTTCCCAGCTACCTTCTGACCAGCAAAGTCAATGAGGAAAGCTAGATTTAAGCCCGTTTGTGGCCAAAAAAAAAAAAAAAAACCCAACATAAATCATGTGACTTTGGGATCTTGCAAATGATCATAAATGCAAGCTGTTGCCATGTACCCAAAATGTGACCATGTCATGATTTTGTGGGGCATCAGAACTACAAATCTAAGCTGCAAGTTCCTGTTCTAGAGTTTGTTGTAACTTTGAACAACGCTAAGCAACCAGTTGTAAATTGAGGACTACCCTGCACATACCTTGTATTCCCTTTGCAGGAAACTTACTGTTCTAAATATACGAAGTTACTGAGTTTCCTTGTCAGCCTTCCTGTAAATAAATTTACTTTTTTTTTTGCCATCTAAGGAGACTTGATCGTAGATCTTGGATTTAAACCGGCAGATGCCACTGAATAGATTACACAATAGTATTACAGTGGGGGGAAAATTAGAGAACACCCATATACTTCCACACCCCTCTCTTGCTCTCACTTTCTTGCTCACTTGCTAGAGTACAATATACTCAAATATTTTGAGGAACATTCAATGATTGTTCATGTTAAAACTTGCATTAGCATTGAGTGGTTCCATATCTTGATGTTACTTATAGTCCAGTTATCAGAAAAAGAGATGAACCGTGGCAAAAGATTATATCCACATGCACAAGTATAGCATTGAAAATGATGGACATTTCCCCCCAATTAAGTACAAGTCTCTCTCTTTCATCTGGTTTTCGTTCTGCTCCACTTTCAGAGAGCCCCAAACTATTTATCCAGCTTGAAAGTTTCACCACACAGCTCTGAAGCCAATGTTTTACTCATTAAGAAGGGTGGAGTTCATCATAACAAGTATAGTCCTGTTGAGCAGAGAATAACATAGCAGGAAGAGGAGAAATCTTATGAATAACATAGCAGGAAGGAGAAATCTTATGAAGTTTTGCAGGATATGGTCTATGTCTTTAAAGGCACTGCCCATGCTTGGTAATGATTCAACAGTGAAGTTTAGGGTTAATTTTAAGCCCAGTTTCCCAAGGCTACAACCACACAACAATAGACCCAGTCTAGATTTTAAAACCCAGCTGAAGCTGATGGGATAATTAAAAGCTAGCTTCCAAATTGGTTTGCAGACATTTTATTATCCGACATCAGTGCTTGGTCAGTTCTCTTCTATTGGATTCTGAGAATGTTTCAGATTGCATTTATTACTATAAAAGTGTATTTAAAAAAATGAAGTGTGCAAACCAGCCTCCCCATTTCCTATGTCGGA